TGCTGAACCATATCAGGTCCCAGATGTGGCTGCATGCCTACACTTCATCCCATGCCAAGCAGTGCTCCTTCTTCTGGACTGTGTGGTGTAACCCAGCTGATGGCTCTGCTCTCACACCTTGGGCTGTTACGCTGGGAGTCGGTGGTTTCCCAGGTTGTGGCTTGAGAAGGGAGCCCAGGGAAAATCCAGTGTCCTGTAGGAAAGCAGCATGCTAGAGATCACAGAGTCATTTAGGTTGGAAAAGACCCTTAAGGTCATGGAGTTCAACCATTAACCTGGCACAGCCAGGTGTCCCTAACAGAGATGTTCCTGTGTGTGCTGGGACAGTCCTTGTATCATCTTGTGTCTTGGACCACCAGTTAGCCCAGCTGCTGTAAACCAGTGCTGCCAGAGCTGGTCTGGACTGTGCTCTCCATGAGTTCTCTGAGACAGACTGGAGCCTGGTGCTTGCAGCAGCAGCTCAGCCACACCCTATGTCCCAGCTCTGCCCTTCTCACTGCTGGCAGGGGTCAGTACAGCTTAGTGGCCACACCAGTGGCCTGGAGGATGATCCGGTGTGGGGTGGACCTCCTTATGCCCAGCACAGCTGGGAGCTGCAGAGGATCTGGGCCATTGCTTTCCACTAATGACCTCCTGAATGGACTGTGAGTGCACTGAGGCAGGACTGACACAAGGACACCCTCCTGCCCACCCCACACCCAGTTTGCATCTTGCTTTCATGTGTGTATATCTCTTTTTATTTCTAATGCTGTCTTGGACCATTTTTTTTCTCACCATTCTGAATTCCCTGGAGGGGTGTTAGATTACCAGTTTCTAAGCATGAAACATTTTGTTGCTAATAGAGATGTCAGGATCCATTTTCTCATGTTTGTTGAAAGATTTAATTCCATTTTCCAATCCCAGGGGCAATTTTGCATTCTGATATTTGTTCAATAATTGCATAAAAAATAAGAAAATGCTATCTTTGAATAGTTTGGAGCAACATCCTTTTCCAGGCAGCCTGACAAAACCCTGGTCAGAAATTCAGTGTCTTTCAGAAAGTCCTTTGGGAAGAGACTGTCTGGAGCCTGTAGATGCCAAGCAGAAGCTATCACAGCCAAACTGACAGACTTAGGAGAAATGAGTCTTGGGACAGGAGCTTCAGCTGTGCAGGTCAGAGCTGAGATAGTGATGCAGAGAAGCCTGGCAGGAGGATGCAGCAAACTCTTCAGCTGCTGGTGAAGAGTATAAATGAGAAGCATTGTGGGATGCAAAGGCCACAGCTGCCCCAAAAGGTCTTGCTAGCCCCCAAAGCGATGGGAAACATCTGCCTGGTGAGACAGAGAGTGATGTGAGGTAGCAGAACCAGAACTGGGGCACAAAGACACTCTGGACGTGCAGAAATCCCCAGTGTGGGCAGTGCTGAGCATTGAAGGTGGCTCCTGAGCCTCACCTACAGCTCCTGAGCTGTCAATCCGTGGTCTTGGTTCAGTCCCTGTGTCAGATGTCACCTCTCAGGGCTGAGCTGTTACATGTGTAGTCACAGCCTCTTACCCTGGGTAGGAGGTCGCAGTGGAAATTCCTGTAAGGGGACTTTAAAAGAGTTTCTTGTTCCAGGGCTCCCTGGCACAGCACAAGCCCCTCTGCTGTTCACAGCTTTCAGCTCCTCTGCTCCTCGTTAGTTGTTCAAACTCTGGTGGTTTCATCCCTCTGAAAGAGCCACAGTTAATGAGTCTATTAGAGCCATTGATTTTAGTGGGGGGTCGGTTTGGATTTAGACAGTGCAGGGAGATTAGTGAAACAGGGATTAAATGTTTTGGTGATCCACTATCGATTCCTGGGTACACGCTTCTCTACGTTGGAGCTCTTAATTCAGCTGCAGTAGAAGAGCTTCATAATTTGTTTGCCCTGGCCAGACTTTATGAAGCAAAACATTATTTACACCCCAGCAATCCCAATTAACACCCTGGTCCCCATCCCTTCTTCTAGCAATCCGTTTGTTGCACAACAGCACAGAATAATGCCAGTTTTAAGGCCCTCACATTAATGTGTTTCAGATTGGCTTTATCCCTTCTGATAAACAAACTAGGTAAATTACTGTCTGCCTCCAGCTAATTATCCCTTTTAACTGAGTGTAATAGTGCAGAGGTGCTGAATTCTTGGGTAAATGGAAGATGGTGGTTATTGCCATCAAAGTCTGAGGCTGGATCTCATGGAAATTGGAAGGTATGATAATTTTTTTTTTAAATATTTTGGTCAATTTTAAAAAGCTTGAACCTTTTCCCTCACTGTTGATAGGCAGCAGTTCCAGCAATGCTTCCCAAAAGCCCTGCTGAAAGTTAATTCGTTTGGGTGCTTTTGATTCCCTTTAATCAAATGGATTTATTTTAAGCAAGTGAGCTGTGGAGGAAACAAAAGGGAAGAGTATTTGCAGGGCTGGAGCACTATATTATTGTAAACTGGTCAAGGTGCAGCTGCTGTAATGCTTCTCAGGTCACAGATAGGAGAATGGGATGGACATGTGGCTGAGAGACAGCAAAAAGGAGTCATTTTTATCCTGTTAACTTGGCTTTGGCTCCTGATGGACCCATCTCCTTGCCTCTGGGATGCCAGGAGGACTCGCTGAGATGAGCTGAAGCCCATCCTGGGAGGAGCTGTGGGCAGGGATAACATGTCTTTGGGTCTTTGCTTTAGCATTAGCAGATGAAGCGGGTAAGCTCTTAACACCAGGCATTTAATCTCTTAATGCTTGTCAGGAAAAATGGCTTCAACGTCACCGTTAGGACCATGAAAGTACCTGTCACTACTTTCATTCTTTAGTCATGGGAGGCTGGAGCTCCTCCACTGATGTAAATTGTCACAGGCCCCACAAAACCAGTGGAGGAGTTCAGATTTACAGCAGCTGACGATTTAAACCCCATCCTTTGGGGGGGAAGTTGGAGAAGTCTTTGATTATTTGATTGGTAGTTGTAGAGCTGGGTTAGATGGCCTGTGGGACTGCAGAGTAAGATAAGATGGCTTTACTACAACCTCAGATAGCCTGAGAGCTTCTACTGGAGCAACTGAGAAAGCTGGGAGAGACAGGCAAGAGT